GCCGGGCGCCAGGGCAGGTCGTGGTAGAAATCCTCGCAGCGCTCACAGTTGAGGCCCTGCGTGTGGTGCTTGCAGACGCAGCGGCCGTGCACCTGCCCGGACACCACGGTGAGGGGCACAGCACGGGCACTGCGTGGCACCGCCGCGGCGCCGCGCTCGCCCTACCATGCCCTCGGTGTCCGGGGCGCTGCCGCTGAGCGGGGCGCACTCCGAGGCGTGCCCGTAGCAGAAGCAGTTGCCGCGCAGCACCAGCTCGTACAGGGCATAGTAGTACTTCTCGCGGATCTCCCGCCGCGAGTCCAGCAGGTTGTCGCCCAGCGTGTGCAGCTTGGTGAGGTTCACCCGCAGGTTGGTGACGCGCAGCAGGTCTGGGGAGGGCAGCGTCAGCGCCCACCGTGCCACCCCTTCGCCTCCATCCCTCCCTGCCCCGGCACGCACCCTGGATGGCCGGGCTGTAGGGATCCTCCACGGGGATGGACGGGTCCAGCACCTTGAAGATGACCTGGGGGCAGCGAGGGGCGGATGAAGGTGACGTGGCGGCAGCTCCCGGCCCCGCTCCGGCCGCCGGGCGCCCCGTACCTCGCCGTGGCTGGAGGGCTCGATCTCGGAGTAGCGCTGGTCACAGAGCACCTCGTCGAGGCGCCCCGACGGCTGCCCCGCCACGCCCGGGAACAGCTTGGAGCAGTTGTAGGCGAAGTAGCGGTACACGCGCCACGTGCGCCCGAAGTCGGCCGAGCGCTCCACCAGCATGGCCGCGGGACGGAAGGTCTGCGGGACGCCAGGATGCCACGGTGCCCGCGGGCCCCACAGCGCCCGCGGCCGCAGAGCGTCGTGCAGCACCGGGGCACCGTGCAGGCCTGCACCTCGATGGGCACGCGGGGCTTTGCCGCACCGTGCCGCACCGTGTTGGGCCGTGCTCCAGCCCTGGCTGCACCGTGGCACAACGCACCGTGCCACACGGTGCCATGCCGCTAGCAGGGCCCTGCTGGCTCCGTTACCTTGAACTTCATGATGAGGTGGGTGAAGTGGAACTCGCCCTCCAAGTCCAGGCGGATGCTGACGTGCTCCACGCCTGCAGGATGGACGGTCACGGCCATTGCCCCGTGCCCCACACCATGGCTCCCCAGCCACCCGCGCCCACAGGCTGCTCACGGCCTCACCGTTCTCCGACTGCCACCACGTGCGCTCGCCGCCGGGGCCGCTCAGGTAGATGACGTTCTCGATGCGGTGGCTCTCGCGCCGCGACGGCTCCCGCGAGTCGCACGTGAAGCATTTCTCCGAGTCCTGCGCGGCGCCGCGGCTCAGCGCGGGGCTGGCGCCTGGGCGCGCGCGTGCCGGGCCCCGCGGCGCCCGCGGTGCCGCGCTCACCTGCAGGTGGCTGACGATGCAGTATTCCTGGGGCGCGCGCAGGCCGCACGTGGACGTGGCGCTCAGGCGGTCCGCGCGCCCCACCAGCAGGTTCCCGGTGGCCGGGTAGCAGCTGCCCTGGGCGCAGCCGTGGGACAGCTCGGGCTCCTCCGCGCCGCCCGCGGGTGTCACCCCGGCTGCCGAGAGCACCGGGACGGGCTGCACCACCCCCGTGCGGGTGCCCAAGCCACCGCGGTGTTCCCTGAGCCGGCCCCGCGGCCCCGCGCGCTGATGCAGCACAAAGCTCCATGACCCGGAAAGGTGCCGGGGGCCCCGCCGGGGCTCTGCATGAGCACGGGAGGCAGGGACAGGGACAACTTGGGAGCAAGGGCCCCCGGCAGCAGGCTCTGGGAGAGCGGAGAGCGTGTGTGCACATGTGCAAGGGATCTCGCTGCTCGCACAGAGGGGCTGCGTGGAGCAGGAGCCGGGTGCTTGACGAGCTGTGCGTGCATGCATCCGTGCAGCAGCGTGCGTGCACGCGTGCGAGGGATCTCGGTGCTCGCAGAGAGGGGCTGTGTGTGCAAAGGGGCTGCGTGGAGCAGGGGATGGGTGCTTGACGAGCTGCGCGTGGGTGCAGCGGTGTGCGTGCACGTGTGCTCCGCGTGCGCGCCCCGCGTGCGCAGGCACATGAGGGGAGCTGCGCGTGCTGGCGGGGGGCCGCGGCGCCGTGCCGGGCAGCCGGGTCAGGCGCTCGCTAATCCCGCCGGGCTCAGCACGGCCCTCGCTGGGATTTGCAGCCGAGCGCCAGCCCCGGCGGCCGCCCCTGCCGCGGGGGCCTCCCCTCCCCGCGCTCCCCCTGCACCCGCAGCGCCCAGGCCTCCGCGGGCACCGCGCGACGTGCCCAGCGCCGCCAAAGCGCTTACCCAGGAGCAGAGCGAGCGCCAGCAGGTCCATGGGCAGCCGTGGGCCTGGGGACACGGAGAGGGCGCTGCAGCGGGGCCGGGCGCGGGGTCCTGCACGCCGGGACCCCCGCACAGCCCCCAGCGGCAGCAGAGGGGCCAGGGCGGTTCAGCCCTGTCCCGGGGGCTGTGGCCAAATCCGAGCACCTCGTGGCCCTGTCCCGGCCGTGCCAGCCCCCTGCCCTGCTCGGGGTTGCCCTGCATCCCTCCCCGCGAGTGCTGCTGGCTCAGGTGCCGCTGTCCCCGGGGGTCCCAGCGCCAGGGACCGGAGCCAGCGGCAGTGCAGCAGGCCGGACAAGGCCAACCCCACAGCTGGCCAAGGTCCCGCTGTTAAATTTAGGCTGGAGTCGCCTTTTGTGCTTTCTTCTCCGCTGCAGCTGCCTGTTTCCAACCGCGTAAGCGCTGGATCAAAGCCTGGCCCCGGCGCTGCCTAAACACATCTTTCCTGTCCCCGCGCGGCAGCCAGGCCGGCCCGGCACAACGGGGGTCCTGGGCAAAGCCCCGCCGGACGCCTGGGCCCCCCATCCCGGCGCCATGCCCGTTCGAAGCCTCCAAGAGGCGGGCAGGGGGCCGCGTGCGGCACGAGGGTCCCCGAGCCCCGCGGGCGCCGGGCCCGGGCGGTACCTGGCGTCCTGCGGCGCGGCTGGCACCGGCT